GTATCCATCCTATACATCGTACCCGTCATCAAATGCCAGTATAATGCAAGAATTACGCAATGCATGGTTATATTATGTCGATACAAACTTTCTAAACGAACTACGAGGATTAACCAGACAATACCCCTTTTCTGAAGAGTTATTTCAGGATGCTAGAGGCAGAATAGATAATAACCCTAGATCGTGGAATATGGCTTGGGCTATGCTGAAAGTAATGGAAGAAAAGTAAATATCTATCTTTATATCTTTTTCTGGTAAAATCTTTTACTAATCATGTAAAATAGTAACTTAATTCCCCACCACGCCCAACAACTAGCATCACGTTCCACAATGTGGGGTGGGGCTCGTCCAAAACCTCAGCATATAGCGGAATTAGCAGAGATTTTACAGCATAAGTGGGAAGGGGCTGTAGAGCATTTGTTGAGAAATTGGGAAGTATTTCCAGTGTATAGAATGGGTGATGGGTTATAGGAGAGTTTGGAAACAGCTGTTAGTTGGGTTTGTCCGTGAATCCTTTTCGATTGAAGAATCAAATTGCTTATCCTTATCCTGACACACGGTCATGTGGAACAAAATAAAACTCTAACACGAAAAAACAGGCTACCATATGAACCCTTCTTTCCTTCGATTCCTTTTTTATTGCGTTATCGATAATTGGGTAGCTTCCAAAATATTCGACCAAGTACATGGTATCAACACATCCCGTAGTAGATACCACGGCACCAAAAAGTATACTGTCGATGAAGAAGTGTATGAATCTTTGTGGTTCCAACGCCAGCCCTGTAAATTATCACCGGATTAATCAAGTTGGATATTGAACTGAAATTTCAGCGGCGGACAACTGGAATTTACAGTTGTATATTCCCTGTGCATATGGTTCAGCGAAATCATGAAGAGACAGAACTGAAACCGAAGTGTTCGCACACAATTCCTTACTCCAGATTGAAAAGGATAAACGTTAACCATCAAACGTAAGCTGTCGTCTTGAAAACTCATACAAAATTCTGAAAATATCCCTTCTGTGAGGAAATGTGTAACTTGGATTCCTGGAAGACCGTGTGGTAGATGTGAAAGGTATATGTCGATGCAGTTTTCTGCGTTTAGTGAGGTTTTGAAAATGGAAAATATAAGGTACAAGGCTGGTAAGTATATCATATTTACATTTGATCACTGATTTTAGTTTGTGGTCAAGTTGAGAGGAAGAAATTGGGCGGTTGTGAAGAGGCGCTCTATATGGATGTTTGCCGAGATATCCGCTGAACAAGCGAGCAAACCATATACTGAGCATGAAGGGAAGTAACGACTTTTATGTCGGTATTTACCAAGTGTGTAAGCGGGGGAAGAAACATGTAGCGGCGAAGCGGTGGATGATGTGGGAGGAGAAACATTTGATAATCCGGAATATCAAGAGTAGACTGCGGATGATTCGGCGGCATTTCTGGGGCTATATTTTCATGAGTCTGGAAGATATGGTATTAACCTATATGTTCTCGCTGGTAGTAATTTTGTTGAAGGGTTTCGGAATATCTTTCAGAGTGGCTGAATTGGTTATTAGTGTGGTTTGACGGGTTAAGAATCTTGAATACACGCGTGTTGCGGTGTGAGTTGATATGATAATTCTGAAATTAACTATTTCACGGGGTGACCTGATGTATTGTATCCTCAATTTTCAATTTCCAAGGCTGGTATTGCTGGGTAAGCGTGAAAAGAGGAAAAATACTGGGGATAAGTTGCAATGCTTTATGACGAAAGAATGTGCAGGATAGTTCCGGGGCAGAATAGGTGTTTGCAATAGTCTATGGTAGCTCTTTGCCTAGGACAATCTGTTGATATCTCTGGGCTCCATGTTGTATACCTGGGCCCTATACTTGAATTAACACAGCACCTGTCTGTCTACACGTGACTACTTCCCATGCCTTCAATTCATCTTGCATCAAATTTCAATCAAAACAATAGGAAAACCATCTGTGGATCATTCACTATAAAATCTACCCCATACTCTATCCATTATCATTCTTTATGCTCACACCACACACTACAGCACTCACATAATACACCAGCATACTTCCGAACGCTATCTATTATTTTCAACAATCAATTCAAAAATCTCAACTTCTAGATTCCAATCATGGGTAAATGGAAGTGTGGTAACTGTGGTCACGTCAACGATGGCGGCATGATCTGTGGCAAATGCGGTATTCGGCCGCGCAAACCCATCAAGGGAACCGGAGTTTTTGTCAACGATAACCAGCCGAATGTTCACCCAGTTAACCAGAACAACCTGGTCGAAAACCAGGATGAGCATAAGATCGACCAGGAAATTTGCTCTATCGGAAAAGATGAAGTGGTTTAGTTCTTCAACGGAATCATGGAGGCCAAGCCGGGGCACGCAAGTTTTAGGAAGAGTGCGGACATTGTTTTTTGTGTTTTTTTGTTTTTGTTTTTATTTTTGTGTTGCTGGTTTTTGATTCATAATGCTGTTTAAGAATTACCATTTTTTGCAAAACACTGATGATTATGATGAGCGTGATGATCGAGTGATGATGAGTGACTGGTTTAGTGAACTGTGGCCGGGCGATACCATCCTTAGCATCACCAATACGTGCATAGCCAGAGTTCTGGAACTTACAGCTTTGTTCAACCTTTTCTCCTGTCAACACTACGATTCCATAAATCTCAGGCAAGCATTAGAGAGATAAGAAGCCGGAATCAGTACCAAACTCACGAAGGAACCAAAACTAATATCAATCTTGGTTACATTTCATCGCGATACGGATCCTGAATGATTCAATTCGCTCTAAGTTATACTATGTTGTTATCCACCTATTGTGTTATGACTTATTGTCCGAGAGATCCATGCGACATCCTAATATAAATTCTTTGAAGTTTGAATAACTACACATCTTGAAGTATCACGCACGTTACACCTTTAGTGCAACAAGTCAAGTGGCACAAAACAAAGATATATCGGTGTCTCATTGAGTGGTCTTGGCCACAAGGATAGGAATACATTTTCTTTTGTCCCGCACAGTCCTTAAAGGCCTCGAAAGGTGCATGATTGATATCAAATCGAATCATATAACAAAAATTCAAATGGAAGGAATATAAAGGGCGAGTCCAGCTTTTTATTATATTGTTGTGCCCGACATTTGTTTTCTCGTACAACTTCGAATGCCAAGTTATCTGGCTTCTATGAAATACCAAAACTCCTGTGATGATTATGATGAAATCAACCGTCACAAAGCTCTTGAACACTATTAGTTTCTGAAATTTTCAAATATACTTCAGCAATATCGATAACTCTACATATTTCTTTTCATTTTCCCTTCTTTAGGTTAGGAGGTAAGTCAGAGATGTCAAGGCTGTTTATTTTAGGATGCGCTTGATATAGCTTGGGATAGGTTTCCCACTTTTGTAACTCCTTCTTTTGCTGCGTTGCCAGTCTTTTTTAGTTGCCAGAAATGTCTGAACGTATCTATAAAGAGATAATAGTGTGGATTTGTAGAGCCGGCACTGAACGGGCCAGTGACATACATCAGTGACCGGGTCAGAGAGGGGTCGCAAGTCACGTGTGCGTGTGATGACTCATGATGCCACAACGGCGACGGCTATCTGCCCCGGGGTTTGACTTCAGTGAACCAGAAAAAAGTGCTCGTGCCTAAATTGAATTTGATGCCATATTTTAATGTATAAACAAGTATGGATGTATTCTTCAATATGCTAGCACATCAGTCAATCCTGCATATATTTCCCGCACAGTCCATCATTCAATCCTCCTTACTCGTGTTCCCCAACTATCCCCGAACATTCTCGAGAGGGAGTCCTGCATGGGCATTTTAGGCCTCGGTCAGCGTATGATTTAATAAATAAATAACATTCTCGAGATCTAACATCCGCAACCTCAACCCTAATCCTATTGACCCGTTACCGACCCCCGGTCACTGGCCCTGACCCGGTCAGTGCCAGCTCTGCGGGTCTGGTTTCAAGCATGGAATGATAAATCATGTACTTGGGGTAAGAGCTAGTAGTTTATCACAGGCGCCGGTAGATGAACGATGAGTGGAGTTATAATGATAATGGTTTTTATTATGACGGATATGATAGGTATGCCTAATGACCATTTGAACTTTTTTCTTGAGAAACACTCTATAAATCGCAAACCTCCCAAACTTATAGCCAGTTTACCGGGAAAAATCGTAAACCAGATAAACTGAACCGACAATCCACAGTTAGTTGGTACAGTTTTGGTGCCCCGGATACACACTTGGTTCAGTTTTGAGGGGTCCCTAGAACCAGGTAACTGCAGTGAACGGATTAAACGGAATCGGTAAATAGAAACCAGTTTAACCGCATTGGAAACCAGTGCATGCAAGAATCAATGATGTATTAAGCCTGGTTTGAACCCATTGGTGGCCGAGCTTGCCAGTATCTCAATCCTCCTTAATCCAGGAGTTTCTGGTCACAAGGTTTCCCGACCTTTACAAAATGGCGGTGCACATGCTCTCAGCTCCCGCGATGACTGCAGAGTCTGAGCTGCTGGTTTTCCGAAAGCAAGCGGATCATTATATCAGACTGCGATTCAAAGCTAAAAGATACTCCGGAGGCTATCGAGGGGCTCACTGAATAATATTTATTGTTCCTTCATAAACCAGTTCCTCTGGAAAAACTAGTTTTCGCAGTTTCAATGCCAAGCCTTGCATTCGGTTAACTTGTTTTCGCAGTTTAACCAGTTTATATTACTGACGATAAACTTATTTAGGCCGCAGTACAGTTCTCATATTCCAACAGTCCGTACAGTCCGTTTTGGCCGTCATTTTGAACTGGTTTGTACGACTGGTAGGTCTGATAAATCGATATAGCATAGCAAAAAGAGAAATCATATTTCAAAATCCTAAGCCCTTTCCCCTTCAGGGTACACTAAATACTAGTAGTATCATCCACAAAAACAGACTTTCGTGAAAAAAAAAGAACATCACATGAAAAAAAACCCAAAATTATATTGACGAGAGTGGGATTTGAACCCACGCTCTTTCGAACTGGTGTGCTTTGAAGAATCAAACCTAAAACCAGCGCCTTAACCACTCGGCCATCTCGCCTAGTCACTGCCAGGGTAAACCCTAAATATAATATAATAACAACAATTAACTACAACTGTATATCAGCCAGTGTTTTTTATCGGTCTGTGCACCAAGCACCACGTCTTAACGGCTGTTGAATCTTTTTCCGTTCCATCGGCAAAAATATCGTCATGATTCGTGAACCCTGATGATTACACAGCTTACTACATACCATTGTTGCCCCATTGTTAACTAGTCATGATATACCATCACCTTGTATAACACATACTAAGACTTGACGGTTATATTTATCTCATTTCAAGATCCATCGGTAAAGCAGTCTCCATGATTCGTGATCCATAACAAGTTTCTATCCGGGCCGTTCGTCATTATATCGTCTCATTTACGGTTGGCGATATATCCCGGAGTGGCATGACGTTGACACAGCGACATGCTTTCAGCACAATGGCATGATTCTAATAGACGATAAAACTATTATCTCGTTTGTACTCCGCTCCAATTCCACTTGGTGCTAGAAATAATCCCGTAGACCCCGGTACGGAAGAAGGGCCATGGAATTGTTACCCAGTGCTTCATACACAAATGAGTAGCTTCAGACTAGCTAGAAAGAAGTCACAGAGTCTACTTTAGTGTCATCACACAGTGTCCTCAAAAATGTTTCTACCTTCTACACCATTTTATGGGATATCTCAAGGTATGACGGAACCAGAAACCTCCTTCGCCACTCGGGTTTTGAAGCCTGTTGGATTGGCTCCATTGATTGGACACGGCGAATTGTGATCCAAAAGAGGTGAGTAGAATGCGGGGTTTGATTTTTAGTTTAATTTTCATAATCATGGTTCTGGAGATGGACGAAGCTTGAAAGGTGTACTGGAAGAGAAAATCATGTGTCTTCAATAATAAGTGGAACCCCTATGGTGAGTTCCATCGCCAAGGGTTTAATGGTTTGGTTGGTATTAGTTTAGAGAGGTCGTCTACAGTATGACGCTCATGGAACGGGGAGTTCTGATCAGGAGTTTTTATGAGCTATGATGTATTCCATGGAAGATTATGACGGAGGATGGCGGGGAATACGGGGATAAGTGTGAGGTTGGTTGAGATCAAGACCCGCTACGAAGCGGCGGGTGATAAACAATACGCTAAAGCCTACTGAAAATGGTCGAAGCTCTGGCGGAGCTCATGGTCCGAGAGGAAATACTTGGTGAGAATAAACCTATGATCGTTAGTAGACAAGCTATCATCATTGACAACAAAGATGCTCGGTGAGTTGAATGAGGCATGTGATGTCGTTTGTGTGCATGACCTGGAGGGCAAGTAAATAATTGAATGTCTATGGAATATAAACTACCCAAAACTGTGCTCTTACTAGTTTGCCGCACGTTGAGTGCGGGAAGCGCGCTTCAAAGGCAGTCCCAGAGCGTTGCCAAGGGGAGATTACCGCGGCCCGAAAATTAGACCTATGGGCATTGCCCTTAGTGCTATTAACACCAAGGTTCACTAACATGAGGTTCCCGGAAGTTCTCTGTAATGTTCTTTTCTGAATGTATCAGCTGGACAACAGTCGACCTGAACACCACTTCTTCGCGCTTATTGGCGGTATCCGCGAGAAGTTTAGCTATTCATCATGTTCTACCGACGTAACTTTCCGTTTCTGTAGCGTCAACCGTCGGGAATTAGTGCATCAATGTTTTCAATAAGAACCAACGTTTTTCGCCACCTATTCAGCTCCTTGCACTCCAGCAATAATCTCGTATAGTTACCACCTCCTTCTTACTAATCCAGGTGTGCCGTTGCGCCTGGACCATTAAAAAAAAAAGTCTCACTTTTGGGTCATAGCAAGAACCCAGCAAAATAACAGTCGTTTGATAGGTAAGCCTTTCAGTTTGATATACCCTGATTCAGGCAATCAAGGCTAATCATACTTCAGGTCCCTTTTCCAATAATGGTCCATTTAACCAAGTCCATTATCGCCGCCGCAGTTTCTGCGAGCTTGGTGGCAGCCCTACCGACCCCTCATCAAGGAGCGGTGGTCGCTGCGGGAACTGATGCCGTTGCTCCCTCCACAGAATGGGTAGCACAAGCAACTAGTGAAGTCGAAGTTTCCGAGCCAAAGGAGCCCATCGTGGATGGCTCTGACAACGAGGAGTCCAACGAAGACGACTCGGAACCGGCACCCCCGGCTGATTCCCCTGTGAACCCAGAGCCCGCCCCCGAGCCTATCGACCCCAAAGCAGATGGCGATGAAGCGGCGGAGTCTCAGAAACCCGAGCTTGAGACTGCTCAACCCCAAGATCAAATCCCGGCCGAGGAGTCTGATCAGGCTCCTTCCTCGGCAGTCGATGATTCACAGATCGTCGATGCGCCTGCCGGACAGGATGACAATAACGATCAGGTAGACGACCCTGATTCCAATATCCCCCCCGTTGACGGATCAGACAACGCAACCGATCCCGAGGAGAACCCAAATGACTCTGAGCCTTCTCCCGATCAGCCCCCCGTCGACGAACCTGCTTCTGGTAACCTGGTTCATACTTGCACCGAGCCTTCCCCTGAGGTGTCCGATGAACCTGTCACACCTGAGCCTGAAATTTCCCCGGAGCCTGTTCCTGGTCCTGAACCTATTGCTCCAGCTGATGGTGCGGACGAGCCTGTCGAGTCAACTCCAGATGACTCCATTCCTCCCGTTGACGATGTTATTGCCCCAGTTGACGAGGTTGCTCCTCCCACCGACGAGGTTACTCCTCCTGTCGACGACGAGGTTACTCCTCCTGTCGACGACGAGGTTACTCCTCCCACCGACGACGAGGTCACTCCTCCTGTCGACGATGTTGTTCCCCCTGTCGACGACGAGGTCACTCCTCCCACCGACGACGAGGTTATTCCTCCCGTCGATGATGTGACTTCTCCCGTTGACGATGTCGTTCCCCCTGTCGACGACGAGGTCACTCCTCCCACCGACGACGAGGTTACTCCTCCTGTCGACGATGTTGTTCCCCCTGTCGACGACGAGGTCACTCCTCCCACCGACGACGAGGTTATTCCTCCCGTCGATGATGTGACTCCTCCCGTTGACGATGTTGTTCCCCCTGTCGACGACGAGGTCACTCCTCCCACCGACGACGAGGTTATTCCTCCCGTCGACGATGTTGTTCCCCCTGTCGATGAGGTTACTCCTCCCGTCGACGATGTTGTTCCCCCTGTCGACGACGTCACTCCTCCCGTCGATGAGGTTACTCCTCCCGTCGACGATGTTATTCCCCCTGTCGACGACGTTACTCCCCCCGTCGACGAGGTCGACATTCCAGAGATCGCTCCCCCCGAGGTCGACACTCCTGAGGCTATTCTCTCTTCGGACGATATTGCCCAGGTTGATGTCCCCGAGGCCGACGTTCCTGAAATCGCTCCCCCCGAGGTCGACACTCCCGAGGTTGCTCCCCCTGTGGTTGACGCTCCCGAGGTTGATGTCCCCGCTGTGGACGTTCCTATTCCCGATGTTGATGATGTTGGTGGACTTGAGCACAACGAGATTGATCCTTCAATCCATGCACCTGACGCCAATGTCCCTGACCTCCCTGATCTCCCCGATCTCCCTGATCTTCCCCAGGTCCCTGATGTCCCTGATGTCCCTGATGTCCCTGATGTCCCTGATGTCCCTGATGTCCCTGATGTCCCTGATGTCCCTGACGTCTCTGACGTCCCCGATGTCCCCGATGTCCCCGATGTCCCCGATGTCCCCGATGTCCCCGATGTCCCCGATGTCCCCGATGTCCCCGATGTCCCCGATGTCCCCGATGTCCCCGATGTCCCCGATGTCCCCGATGTCCCCGATGTCCCCGATGTCCCCGATGTCCCCCAGGTTCCTGAGGCTCCTGAGGCTCATGAGATCCCTGATGTCCCCCAGCTTCCTGAGGCTCCTGAGGCTCATGAGATCCCTGATGTCCCCCAGCTTCCTGAGGCTCCTGAGGCTCATGAGATCCCTGAGGTCTCGGATGTCCCCGAGGTCCCCATTGTCCCCGATGTCCCCGATGTCCCTGAGATCCCCGATGTCCCTGAGATCCCCGATGCCGCCGAGATTCCTGAGGTCCCCGTCGTCCCCGATGTCACCGACCTCCCCGAAGGCGAATTGGATTATGATCAGATCACCGGCGCGATTGGCATCCCCGAGGTTGCGTCCTCCGACATCGAACCCTACCACTCCACTGTCCCCGAGTACCCCGCCTACGACGAGACCTGGTCCACTCCTTCGCTTGCTGTTACCGACTTCAACCTGAACTGGAAGCGTGACGGTGTTTTCAACCCCGTTGACGCCATGGTTTCTTCGTCTTCCCAGTTCCGTGGACAATCCAACTCCGTCCGTAACCCCGTCTACGACTCCAAGGTTGCCGCTAAGGAAAACCACATTGGCCCTTGCCCTTGTGGATGCGGTAACTCTGTCGTCCTTGATGGTCTTGCCAAGCGCGATAACCACCGCAAGGTCGTCAGCGTTGTCAACATTGCCAAACACCCCAAGGTCGTTAAGAGAGGAGAGGGTGAGGATTTGACCAACTCCAACATCAACCGTCTTCGCAATATGCGCGATGAGCGTCACGACAACCACAACAACTGCGAGCAGTGCTCCAACAGTTTCTGTGGAGGAAACTGTGGTGGCGGCGGTCGCTCTGGTGGCTTCGGAGCTGCCGAGTGCTGCGAGGATATTGGTGACGCCTTCTCCGACAACCACAACCAGAACATTAACCAGAACTTGGATAACAACCAGAATATTGATGTTGCTATGCACCATGAAAGACCTGAGTTGGGCGGAACCATGGGAAGAGTTAGGGAGAGACTTAATGCTTCCCCTGTTGGAGCGGGACTCAGTGGCAAGATTATGCCTGGCAATGGAGCCTTGCCTTCGAACAAGAAGGGTGAGGAGGAGGAGACTACTATCATTAACTAGATAAGCATTTGCCCGCTTATACACATACTTACACACACACTTACACACATAAAAACACACACACACATATATATACACTTAC